CTATAATACTATAGGTGTGGGGTTTGTGTGGGATCTGATACACTGCAAATAAGCCCTTGTAGAATTGAATTGAATTGTTGCCCAAACCAATATAAAAAGATCATTGTATTAGTTTCCTATTGCTGCTGTAACAAATTACCACAAATTTAGTGGCTTAAAACAACTTTATTATCTTACGGGCATAAGTCTAAAATCCGTTTGGGCTAAAATCAAGGTGTTAGCAGGCTTGTGTTTCTTCTGGAAGCTCTAGGGGAGAATGTATATCCTTGTCCTTTTATAGGTTCAAGAAGCTGCCTACATTCTTTGGCTCATGGCCACACATCACTCCAACCTTGGCTTCGATCATCACACAGCCATCTGCCTCCCTTTTATAAAGACCCTTGTGATTATGTTGAGCCCACCTGGATAATCCAGGGTAATCTTCTCATTTCAAGTTCCTTAACTTAATCATCTGTTAAGTAACATATTCACAGATTCTAGGGATTAGGACATGCCCATCTTTTGGGGGGCCGTTATTCGGCCTACCATAGTCATGTTATAGCCTCACCTTATCTATAGTGTGAGTTCTTCTCATTTATAGGGGTCAGGTGCTAGGAGGAATGGTGTGATGGAAGGAATATGGTTTGGAGTTAGCACACCTAAGAGTCCCAGAGCTGCTTCTAAGTAGCTGTGAAGCCTTGGACAAGTCATTTAAACTCTCTTGGCTCTCATTTTTTTAGTGAAATGAGGGTATTGGACTGGATCAGGGAGGCAAATACCTGGTAGGCATACTGTCAACCCTTCCTCCTATACCTATAACAGAGATAACTACTTGTTCAATGCCCTTTCTCTTGTGAACTTGTTCCCAGCCTTCTAAACAGCTACTGCCAGGTGGCCAAAACTGAGAAAAAATGTATTTTCTCTCCCTGAACAAGATCATCTCTAAGGCCTGTGACCTAAACTGTTAAAACACATACACAGCTAAAACTTAAGTAGCCTCATCATGGATCATTGAGTGCTCAAATTCCACTGATTCCCTTTCTTTGCAAAATATTTTCTCCCCCAGATTTTCCCTAGATCAATTAACTTGGCAAATCAGTATTTCTTATCTCCCTATTTTTCCTCTGAAGAGAGCAGTTAGGAACCAAAAGAGAAATAAAGGTTTGAAAGGTCTCCTACCTGTCTTATCAATCAGGTATAAATGCGAGTTGCCCGTACAGAAACCCTGCCCTGCCATCACACCTAAGACCCCATGTGCTACCAGACTGTGCTTTAGCTTGAACTTGTAATTTATACTTACACTTCTACTTACACCTGTACCTATACCTACATTTACACTTATACGTAAAAGCTCATGTCATTTCTTGATGGAGCTTGTCTCTCTCTTATATATAGAGAACACAACAACAAATTATACTTTTACTGCCAGACCCCAAAGCTAGAAAGAACTCATTCAAAAAGCAGTTTTGACCAGACATGACCAGACATGTGAAGCATCTCGCTGAGGGTAGGTGCAAAACATTAAAGTCATATAGCTTAGATCATGGAAAAAACTGCGAGACAGGATGTAAACTCACTTCTGTTGGAAGGAGCGTAATGTAAAAAAAGAAAAGCAACACACAGCTAGAGTTAAGTTGCTCACAAGGAGCAAAGTCAGGTCCCAGACAAACCTCAGAAGTGTCAAATGATCAAACTGTCTATAATATGTGGTTTCTGTCATACATTATGAAAAATGAAAGGGTAATTTTCTGTTAAGACGATTGTCTCTTATCAGATTCTGCGCAGACTTAGTAAAGCCTGACTCTTTCAACTCTTTTTAGTTTGTAAGGTTTTCCAAAGAAAAGACAGTCTTTCTGTTTATTCTAAAAGCCCTCCTCATCAAAGTAGAAACTTAGATTGCTTCATTTTGTAACCACGGATCAGAGAAGATGCCTCTTCTGAGATGTGAGTTCTGCACTGGAAATTCTTGGTAGAGGTGCAGAGGTGTGCTGCTTTGGAGTGGGCTGCCTTCCCTGAAAGCTAAAGCATCCCTCTCCATAATTAGGTATTTGCCATCCCATAAGCTTGTTTTATTATCCTTACAAAACTTACTGGTATCTGAAATTATTTTGTTTACCTTGGGAGTGGCAACCCATGTGTGATGAGTGGGAGTGCTGATCTAAGTTGCAGGCTTGTTTTCTTTGGCCAGCATAGTGATATCAATTTTGAATCTGAAAGTCTTTAGGCATGCAGAACTCTTCAGCTCAATATAATAATCACCACTCCCTATAGTCTCAAACATAGCTTCTTCACATATTTTAGTTCTCTACCTGGTGCAGTGAGGCATTGGAATGTGGGAACTGTGGCTTCCATATAGCAGGTCTGCTGAGAGACCTATAATATCATGGAGTGGGGACCTCGTCTGTACCCGTGTGTATAATGGTAAGCATTCACTGGGGTACAAACTGAGAGGTTTTATTTCTGGCTCCTTCTAACTTGTTTTGGGTCAAAGAGAGGACATTTTACCCTTTTCACTGTTTTCGCTTTCTCATCTGTAGGAAGGTTAGTGGTGCAACAGGAATTGAAAGGAAAATGGGTAGAGGCCCTGTTAAGATTTTTTTTTTTTTTCGAGAATCAGTACGCTTCAGATGATGAGGAATGCCTTCTAGGCAGGCTTTTTCAGAGAACTGAACTGCCTCCTTAGATGGGGAACAAAAGTTTACAAGTCTTATTCTTGTAATGCGCATCTCTGTGAGAGATGAGGTAAAGAAGAGCCAGGCAGCATGGTAGGAAGAATAATGCTCCCCCCTGCCTCCAAAGATGGCCACGTCCTAATCCCTAAAACCTGAGAATTTGTTACCTCATGTGGCAATAGGAACTTTGCAGATGTGATTAAGTTAGAGTCTTCGACATAGGGGAGATGATCCTGCATTATCCATCCAAGAGGGCCCAATATAGTCACAAGCCTTGTTATAAGGAAAAGGGGGAGGTAGGAGAGTCAGAGTCAGAAAAGGCTATGTGATGATAAAAGCAGAGGTCACAGTAATGCCATTGCTGAAACAGGGCCATGAGCCAAGGAAGGTGGGAGGCTGTGAGAAGTTGGAAAAGGCAAGGAACATGCTCTCCTCTAGAGCATCTGGAAGGAATGCAACCCTCCCTCCCCCTGAATTTTTGCCCAGTGAGACCCATGTCACCCTTCTGACCTTCAGAACTGTAAGACAATAAATTCATGCTGCTCTAAGAAACTAAGTTTGTGGTAATTTTTTATAGCAGCTTAGGAAATGAATACAGTGAATCAATATTTATTGAGCATCTATTGTGAGCCAGGAACTGTGCTATGTTCTCAAAATAAAAGATAGACATGGTCCTTAAACATACTTTGTTAGGGAAGGAAAACATTAAATAAATGCTTATAAATAATAGTTGAACAATTAGAAGTGTGAGAAATGCTGCAACAGAGAAATTCAGTGCTATGAGACCATAAAACAAAGACAAACATGACCTTGACTGGGGTGGGTCAAAAGGGATACTTAGGCTGAGATTCAAATGCTGAATAGTAATTAGCTATGAGAAGAGATGAAGCAAGAGTCCAGGCAGAGGGGCCGGAATGGTGAAGGCCCAGAGTGTACATGGTTGTGTTCAAGGAGAAGGAAAACCCAGTGTAACTGGTATGCTCAGGATGTGGGGAAGAGAGGTAGGAGATGAAGCTGGGAAGGTAGGCAGGTCCAGATAACACAGGGCTTTGATGAGCACATTAAGCTCATGTTGAGATTTTGGACTTTGTTTTTCAAAACCATAGGAAGCGCCTAGATTGTGTGTTTTTCCAATGGGCTAACTGGACATCAGAACTGGATTTTCTAGGTTGACACATTTAATTGCCAGCGTGAGACCCTCCAGCATATTTTTTCTCTGTTGTGTCTACCAGGGTGGCTGCAAGTGTTAAATGTTGCAGCTAGAGGATAGTGAAGGCATCAAGAATCTGAATTGCTGTGCTGCTGGATGGAGGAGTTTCTTCGAAGTCCCCTGGATCTGCAGCAAACTTTGAGTTAGAAATAAGCCTCTGTTGTGTTAAGCTCTTGATGTTTTGGTGTTGTTACTGCACAGCCTAGTGTTTCTTGATTAATTCAGTCATTTAACACAGTGACTCCTTGATCATCAGAGTGAACCTGGGGAACAGGTGAAACAGAGACTTCTGGATACTCACCCACCCTGTTCTGATGTAGGCCTTAGATAGAGCCAGGAAATTTATTGGTATGTTTCATAGTAGAAACTACTGATTCTGCTAGTCTGTCTTTAGCTAGGATGACCAGAACTGGGCATGTGGGTTGAATTGTGCTGACCTACCTTGTGGGCGGCAAACATTATTCAAAATAAGAAAGAAAACATTTTAATATCAGTTGTTATCTTGGGGATCCTGGGACATCTTTTGAGATAAGAGTATATTTAGGAATGTCAGAGAAACCAGATGTATTAGTTTGCTACAGCTGCTATAACAAAGTACCACAGACTGGGTGGCTTACACAACAGAATTTTATTTTCTCATTGTTCTGGAGGCCGGTTGTCTGAGATCAAGGTGTTAATTTCCTCTAGACCTCTCCTTGGCTTATGGATGGCATTTTCTCCTTGTGTCTTCACATGATCTTCCTGTGTGTATCTGTGTCCTAATCTCTTCTTATACAGATGACAGTCACATTGGATTAGAACCCATCCTAATAACCTCATTTTGCCTCTTTAAAGACCCTACCTTCAAATAGAGTTAAATTCCAAGGTACTGGGGGTTAGGACTTCAACATGTGAACTTGGGGAGACATAATTCAACCCCTAACACTAGACTTTAAGGAAATGCCCTTATTTTATGCAGCCTGCAAAGAGAGTAACTTAACTCAGAGATGGAGGTATTTCTAATTAAGAGAGGAGCTACATGATTTATGTGGTGATGAGTCTGATTCACACAATTCACTTACAACTTAAGTAAACAGATGCCATTTTCTACAATAAATATATTTTGCATAGTGAATGTACTATACATGCTTCTAGGTTGAATATTACATTACAAGGAAAGTTTGCACAGGAACTTTGAAATTCAATGTTGAATGCATATCCCAGAAGGAGTGGCAGTCTCTTGAAAATCTTGGTAAGTATCTTGCTTTTTCTTAGCAAGTATAGCAATAGGTGTAGCTGTTTTACATTTAAATGCTTGCATGCATGCATATATTTATATTTTTAATTTAAATTTTAAGAAGAGCTTTTGCCCATTTGTCTGTTCTCATAGTTTCTTATGCTCCAGAGGATCTGGAATATAAATATTTTTCCTTGAAACTCTCACTTATCTTACTGAGGAGGGAATAACCAGTCCAGTCTTGAAAGATTTTAAGCACTATGCCCAAAGTTTACAACTGTGACCTATAGTGTCTTTCAAGTTTAGCCAGGGTATCTTCAGAATATGAGAAAAGTGAGACTGGGGAAATTAGGTGACTGGTGAAGCCCACTTTGTCACCTAGAGACAGAGCCAATATTACAGGTCGTATACCTTAAGGCTTATTGTAGAGCTGTTGGCTCCACATGCATCATGGCAGAAGAGATTTATGGCATGTTTACAGTATATGTATGGTACATTTATAATGTAGCTCAAAAAGTTTATTTAATACCTTGAATACATTTTGGGGCTTCACTAGCTTTCCAATTAAATACCAGGTAGAGTTCTATTGTAAAACACCAAACAACCAAGCAAAAACAAATGAGGGGAGCATAGAGTATAGAGTTGGAAACATTTTTCATTGCTCACCTTTCTTCAGATCCCTACTGAGAAGAATACTTTGTCAGTTGAGATAGGCTAGGTTGTGTTACAATAACAAACAATTCTAAATCTCAGTGGCTTGACTCAGCACAGTTTTATTTATAACTCACAAAGTGAGTGTCCAAAGTGGGTCAGCAGAGGGTTTACTCTGCTCCAAACAGATCTGGGTACCTGGGCCAATAGGGGCTCTTCCCTCTTGTAATGGCACCATCTGGAAAACATGGCCTTTGTGGCCACCTTAACAGGGAAGAAAGTACTCAAGGGTCTCACTGGCAGTTAAACACTCTGGCCTGGAAGTGATACATGCCATTTCCCCTCACAAACCATTAGCCAGAAATGGACATATGCCCTGTCTAACAGCAAGAGGGTAGAGAACTATAATCTTCTGGATTTCAGATAGGAGAAGGGGACTGAATAGAGGTGAGCACTAGAAATCTCCACCCTAAATGCTTTTCCTCTTTGGGACCCCATTTCTTCATTTATTAATTTATTCAACCAAGATGTGCTCGATATGGAGTTATGTACATAGCTGAATAAGACAGACATTATCTCAGCCTTTTTGGAGCTTACAGTTTTGAGGCAGACAAATAAAAAATAATGCTGTTATAAATTTTAATAAGTGCTCTGAAGAAAAGGAAAGATCAATGATAGATAATAATGGTTATTAGAAGAGACCTACACAAGTAGGTGGAAAAAAGAAAACTAAATCACTAAATGGTTTCATGAGTGAGGCCAATTAAAAAGAAAGGCGGGCTTCCCTGGTGGCTCAGTGGTTGAGAGTCCGCCTACTGATGCAGGCGACATGGGTTTGTGCCCCGGTCCGGGGAGATCCCACATGCCGCGGAGCGGCTAGGCTCGTGAGCCATGGCCGCTGAGCCTGCGTGTCTGGAGCCTGTGCTCCGCAACGGGAGGGGCCACGACAGTGAGAGGCCCACGTACCGGAAAAAAAAAAAAAAAAGAAAAAAAGAAAGGCAACTACAGTTGACTTAAATAGCATGGATTTGAACTGTGAGGGTCCACTTACATGTGGATGTTTTTCAATAATATGTGCTATAGTATGACATTATCTGCAGTTGGCTGAATCCAACTCTGCAGAACCAGGGATATAGAGGGCTGACTGTAAAGTTATAGTCACGGATTTCGACTGTGTGAGGGGTGGACACCCCTAACCCCCATGTTGTTCAAGGGTCAACTGTATATGCAAGTGATTTTCAGATTCTCTCCTTAGTTAGTAAATCACCATAAACATTAGAATTATTCGTGGTTTGGGTTCCATCACAAGCAGATCCTGAGATAGAGATTTAAGTATAAGTATGCAGTTTATTTTGGTAGGAGAGGTGAAAGGAAGCATTGATAGAGGAGTGAGGAAGCAAGAAGGAAGGGACGGCAGCTTATGAAGGGGGCATTATAAAGCCAGCTACCACTGTAGGTGACTGTAGCTTAATCTCACTGGGGAAACTCTGAGTGTCAGTGTAAAACACATGTTAATATACCATTTCCTGTTAGTCACTGGTTGGGGGCTGCTCTCTTGGGATGTAATGCCAGTGTGTACTGCACATTATGATTCCTCTGGAGTTTTCTTTAGATGGAGCATCTCAATGCTACCATTTGTCACTCCTTCATTCATAAAAGTTTTATAGGGTCTGTAGTGATGTCTTCTCTTTCATTCCTAATTTTAGTAATTTGTGTCTTCTCCATTTTTTTTCTTTTTAGTCTACTTCTAAGTTCTAAAGATTGTTGATCTTTTCAAATAAGACACTATTGCTGTATTGATTTTCTCTATTATTTCTTTTTAAAATTTTATTGATTTCCACTGTGACCTGTATTATTTCTTTCCTTCTATTTACTTTGTATTAATTTGTTCTTTTTTCTCTAACATAAGCATTTAAAGGTATAGATTTTCCTTTAAGCACTGCTTTAGATGTATCCTGTAAATATTTATTTATTTATTTATTTATTTATTTATGACTGTGTTGGGTCTTTGTTGCTGCATGCAGGCTTTCTCTAGTTGTGGCAAGCAGGGGCTTCTCTTTGTTGCACTGCGTGGGTGTCTCATTACGGTGGCTTCTCTTGTTGCAGAGCACGAGCTCTAGGAGCATGGGCTTCAGTAGTTGTGGCACGTGGGCTCAGTAGTTGTGGCTCTTGGGCTCTAGAGCACAGGCTCAGTAGCTGTGGTGCACAGGCTTAGTTGTTCCGCGGCATGTGGGATCTTCCCGGACAAGGGATCAAACCCGTGTCCCCTGCACTGACAGGCAATTCTTAACCACTGTGCCACCAGGGAAGTCCCTATCCTGTAAATTTTGATATGTTGTATTTTATTGTCACACAGGTTAATTAGAAATACATTTTTAAATTTCCAAATATTTGGGCGTGTTCTTTCTATTATTGATTTCTAATTTAATTTCATTGCTGTTGAAGAAGATATCTGGTATTATTTCAATCTTTTAAAATTTATTGAGACTTGTTTTATGGCCTAGCCTATGGGCTATCCTGGAAAATGAGCCATGTGCACTTAAAAAAATGTACATTCCACTCTTTTGGGTGGGGTATTCTATGTAGGTCAGTTTGGTTAAGTTAGCTGGTAATGTTGTTCAAATATTCTTTATCCTTAGTGATTTTTCTGTCTGGTTGTTCTATTAATTAGTGAGAAAAGAGTATTGCGATTCTAATTATAATTGTTGAAAAGTGTATTTCTCCTTTCTATTTTGTCAGTTTTTGCTTAACATATTTTGGGGCTCTCTTGTTAGATACATAAATATTTTTACTTTTATATCTCCCTGCTTTATTGACTCTTTTATCATTGTGAAATGCTCCTCTTGTTCACAATATTTATAGCCTGATGTCATGTTGTCTGATAATAATTTAGCCATTCCAGCTCTTTTATGGTTACTGTTTTCATAGTGTATCTTTTTCATCAGTTTACTTTACTTCTATTTATGTTTAAAGTGTGTTTCTTGTTGATTGAATATAGTTTGATCTTGCTTTTTATTTCAGTTTGACAGTCTCTGCCTTTTGATTAGAATAGTTAGTCAATTTACATGTAATGTTATTATTGATATGGTTGGATTTATGTCTGACGTGTTGCTTTTTGTTTTCCATTTTCATATCTCTTTTTGGGTCCTATATTCCTGTTTTACTGCCTTCTTTTGTGCTAGTGCACTTTTTAAATTCCTTTGTTGATTTTTTTAAAGCTGTTTTGAACTATTTCCCTAGTGGTCACCATAGAGATTATAATATGCATATTTAAGTTTTCACAATCTACTTCAAGTTAGCACTGACTTAAATCTCATAAATTATAGCAACTTTGTTCCATTATAGCTCCATTGCCTTCTTCCTCCTTTGTGTTATTATTGTCAAATATACTTCATCTTTTGGGTTAGATGTAAAAACCTAACAATACATCATTACAATTATTGTTTTAACCAATCTGTTTTTTAATGATTTTTTTAAATTAAGAGAAATACAAGAAAAAAGAAAGAAAAAGATACAGGCAGTCTTTTATATTTACCCACATATTTACAATATCTGGTACTTTTCCTTCCTTCCTTCATTTTCATTGCCATCTACTGTCATTTTCTTTCAGCTTGAAGGACTACTCCTGTTATTTCTTGTAGGTTAGGTCTACTAACAATGAATTCTCTGTTTCTGTTTATCTATGAATGTCTTTATTTTCTGTTTATTTTTGATGAGCAGTTTGCTGGATATAAGTCTTTTTTGGACAGTTTTCTTAACACTTTAAATAATTAATTCCATTGCTGGCCTCCATAATTTCTGATGAGAAATCACCCATTAACCATTTTGTTGCTGAGTTGTTTTCCTCTTAATATTTTTGGGATTTTCTCTTTTTCTTCCAGAAGTCTGACTATAATAGGTCTTGGTGTGGATCTCTGTATTCATCCTACTTGTCTTTTTTTGAGCTCCTTGGACCTGTGGATTGACATTTTTCGTATAATTTTGGAAGTTTTTGCTCATTTCTTCACATATATTTTCTGCTCCTTTCTCTTTCTTTCAGACTTTTCATTATAGAAAAGTCAATCTACTTGGCCTCGTTCAACAGATCTCTGGTTTTTTTCCTCAGTTTTTTTTTTTTCCCCTTTCTTCTGTGGATTACAAACGTTTTATCAACCTATCTTCAAATTCACTGGTTCTGGGACTTCCCTGGTGGCATAGTGGTTAAGAATCTGCCTGCCAATGCAGGGGACATGGGTTTGATTCCTGGTCCGGGAAGATCCCACATACCGCAGAGCAACTAAGCCCATGAACCACAACTACTGAGCCTGTGCTCTAGCCTGTGAACCACAACTACTGAGCCCTCGTGCTACAACTACTGAAGCCTG